ACTTATAATTTCCTTATTATAGAGAAACTAAAAATAAATTTGGATCTGTTAGCAACCATGTTTTGTGCTTTATTAAAAGATTGCACTATGAAGAAACACATGCTTCTAGAAGCTATGAAATATATTCAGAAAATTGCCAATCTAAAAAATGCTGGAGAAACAGACAATTCACATTTTTTACTACTTAGTTTTCACTAGAAATTAGTTTCTAAGGGTTAAAAGTTGTGATTAATACATGTGATTAAAGCTGTTAAAAATTAGGGCACTTGGGTGGTTCAGTTGGTTAAGTGTCAGACTCCTGATTTCGGCTGAGGTCATGATCTCACAAACTGTGAGATCAAACCAGGTATCCAGCTTGGCATTGACAGTGTAGAGCCTGCTTGGGATTCTCTCTTTCCCTCTTTCTCTGTGCCTCCCCTACTCTCTCTTTCTCTCTCTCTCTCAAATAAATAAACTTAAGAAAAATTGTAAATGGCTAAGATTAGAATACATTTATTTAAGAATAAGTTTTCGTATCAAAAGTACACTCATGGAAAGAAAATTAGAATTTGGTTTTTTCCTCTGTTAAAAGAAAAAAGCTTTCTTAGGTGATTTGTTTGCTTTTTATTAGAAGTTGTAATAAAAAATTTTTTTACCTCTAATGTAATCTGCCTAGAAAAAGATTCTGTGTTTTGTTTTAATCAAATCTTTGATCATTCAAGAACCGAGTCTTCCTAATATTAAAAGAGCTAAGATTTGTTTATAACTACGTAATCCTCTATATGTGCCTTTAAAATTTTCTGTTGTCAGAGGGTGCCTGGGTGGCTCAGTTGGTTAGGCATCTGACTTTGGCTCAGGTCATGGTCTTGCGGTTCGTGAGTTTGAGCCCCAAGTCGGGCTCTGTGCTGATAGCCTGGAGCCTGTTTCGGATTCTGTGTCTCCCTCTCTCTCTGCCCCTCCCCCTCTCATGCTCTCTCTCTTTCTCTCTCAAAGAATAAATAAACATTAAAAAAAAACTTTAAAAATCTTTTATTGTCACTTTGTTTAAACTGATAAGTAGTTTTATAATGATCTATGATCATTCTTTAATTAAATGTTTGAAACTTTTGATATTTTTTGATGACCTTCCCAAAATCAAATTTTTTTTAAGACTTTATTTTTAAGTTATCTCTACACCCAACATGGGGCTCAGACTCACTACCCTGAGATCAAGAGTCACACACTCTTCCAACTGAACCAGCCAGATACCCTCCAAAATTGAGCTGTAAAATAGTGTTTTGACTACAAGCCAATTGAAATGTTCCAGAGGGCCCCTGGAATAGTTCGATGATTCTATTTCTCATCATAAAAGAGAGATATTAAACTACTTAGGCGTTCTTGGTATGTTAAATTACATAGGAAGTATTATCAAATAAGTAATACTAAACTGTCTTATATTTGTGTAGATATATGTTACTAAAGTCAGTACTCTGGAAATTGTATGAAACGCCTAGAAATCTGATATGTCCTGGTATGTTATTATCTTAAAATGTTATGTACCAGGAAAATAACCAAATTTCCTTACCAATTACATTGTAATGATTTCTAATCACATCTTTAATCATGGATTTTTAAGGTCCTTTATCATTCACAGACAGTTACACTTTTTCTCAGACGCTTTTACAACAGTTTCCTGCACATGTATTTTATCTCCAGTGAGACTCATGGAAAGAACTCTGAGTATAGGTTTATTGTTTTTAAAGCTTTTTGTTTAATTTTTTTAATGTTTGTTTCTTTTTGAGAGAGAGAGAGACTGGGGGAGGGGCAAATAGAGGGAGACACAGAATCCTAAGCAGGCTCCAGGCTCTGAGCTGTCAGCCCAGAACCCGAGGCAGGGCTCAAACTCATGGACCATGAGATCATAACCTGAGCCGAAGTCAGATATTTCATCGACTGAGCCACCCAGGCACCACCAGGTTGTGTTTTAACAACCCTAAGACGTTAAAACTAAACTTGGTTTAGTGGGGAAACTGGATTCAAGCAGAACACAAATTAATATCATGAGACTAAATGAATTGAGGATGATTATACTTTTTATGACTTTTTTTGTTTGAAACATTGCTGATCTTTTAAGGTTTTGCTTTTCCAGATTTAACTAACTTTCTCTTAAGCTAACTATGGCCTATAGCAATTTGACAAAATAAAACTTTTCAACAAATTAAAACATATACCTTTTTCTTCTATCTGATCCCTCCAGAATTTTCAGTGAATATTCTTATATTTTCATGGCAATGTATCCACTTGCATAAGTTCAGTAAGAACCGGTTCCTGTAACAGAACATAATTGGGAACATTGATTGTACTACTGAGGCTTTGACTGGAATGTTATATTTGAGGGAGACCTGCAAAAACTTAGATATTACCTGACAGCTTTAAGGAACTAGTATTAATGATAGGGACCCAACAAAGCTCCTTGGGAAAACAGCCCAATACCTTTTTATGGGGTTGCTAGCAACCTTACAGGTAAAGAAGGTCACTTCTTGGCAGGTGCAGGAACCTCAGGATATTTTGAGGACTTCAAGAAGAGAAGAATTAACCTAAATCTATAAATATTAAAGGCAGAGTCTGATGGCAAGGATTTGACTTGGCTTCTGGCCTTCAGATCCTGTTAAAAGTTGAGTCTAGAGGTTCTTTATAAAAAATTCCAGCAAAGCAGATTTAAAAGAGTCGGTATGATCAAATGCTATTCTTGCTGAACTTTTATAAAGAATCAGGCCAATATTTTTAAACTACGTTTATTTTATAAACAAATCAGTCTTAATTTGACTATCTTTGGTAAAATGAGGGTGCTTATAAAAAGAAAATTATGTTTCAGTAACACATCTTTATAGATATTAGATTCTAAAACAGTTCATTATAAATGAGACTAGATCCATCGGGTGCCTGGGCGGCTCAGTCAGTTAACCACGTGCCTTCGGCTCAGATCATATCTCCCGGTTTGTGAGTTCAAGACTCACATCAGGCTCTGTGCTGTCATCACAGAAGCCCGCTTTGGATCCTCTGTCCCCTCTTCTCTCCGCTCCTTCCCTGCTTGTGCTCTCTCTCTGTCTCTCTCAAAATAAACAAATAAACTTAAAAAAAAATAAACAAACAAACAAACAAATGAGACCAGACCTTGATTTTTTTCTAGTTTCCTTCAGTGTCTGGTTATAACTCTGAAAGAACATTTCCAGTTTTTTCCCATCATTTTGACTTGGAATCATTTTGTAAATAAAACTTCTCCTTTTTCTGAAGCCTTACAGACTAAATAGAAACAACTTGATGTAAACTCCAGAGAAGTCACCACAACAGCTAATATATAACAATCGTCATGCCTGTTGTGTGGGTCGCTCAGAAAGGTTACCAGAGATGCTTGTACAAACCGAAACAGTCTGCCAAATTGTCACTGCCTGCACTAACCTTATTTGAAAATGCTTGTAGCCTGCCATCTAGAAATCTTTTTAACTGGCTACTCTCAGAACTCAAAACCAGTTTTATAATGTATCTAATCTTAACCATTGTTTTTTTGTTGTTGTTGTTTCCATAAAAATGCCTCGTATCTACTATATGATTATTTGAACCGTCGGCTTCACTCTGAAAATACACAAGCAGCACAGCCTTCTAAAGTTCATTTAATTTACACTAACCCATTGTTAGAACTAAAATACTGCTTAGTGACATAAAACAATCTGCCAGCTCAACTTCGAATGTGCAAAACTTCCAGGGAAGTTTCCGAGGAGGGAACTATAGGGACCAAGGACAGGCCACCCCAAAATGTGACCACTTTGGCATATTGATTATTTTATCTATTTATTTTTATTTTCTTTGCTATCTTTTCCAATTTTTATTATTTATTTATTTTTTAAATATAATTTATCATCAATTGGCTAACATGCAGTGTGTAAAGTGTGCTCTTGATTTTTGGGGTGGATTCCCGTAGTTCATCGCTTACATACAACACCCAGCACTTATCCGAACAGGTGCACTTCTCAACGCCCATCACTCATTTTCCCCGGCATGTTGATTATTTTAAATAAAAGCGACTTAAGAAACAACCAAGGCAAACAAAACAAAACAAAACAAAACAAAACCAGCTCTGACACCCCCCATCTTCACCTCCAGAAAACAAGAAATACATCTCCCATGTGAAAGGTAACCTCTCTGTACCAGGAGGTAGAGAGATCCTCATTACCAAAGATAGGAAATTTAGAGCCAAAAAGACTGTATGAACAGCCCTTGTTACTTTTTGTTTAATTTACAACTCTAGCCCAGATTCTGGAAGCCCTTACTAATTGAAGCTCCCGAAGCGTTCTTTGTCCTGTCAGTTTCTCACAGGTTTATTGTCTCTGTCTAAAAAGTAGGAAAACTGCCTGCCTTGGTTATTTGCCGGAGCATCTGGCAATTAGTCAATGACAGTTAATGTGATCATACCAATTCTGGCTCCAACCACTTGTACCTTAGAATGTGACCTCATTTGGGAATAAGATTGTTTCAGATATAAGTTAAGATGAGGTCATTAGGGGAGTAAGGTGGGCACTAAATCTAATGACTCCCGTCCTCGTCAAAAAGGGAAGTTTTGATTCAGACGTGCGCACAGGAGGAATCCATGAGTAGACACAGGGAGAATATCATGTGTAGACACAGGGAGAAGATAGCCATCTACACAGAGAGAAGCCTTGCCTTCCCTTATAGCCCTCAAGAGGAACCAGATCTGTTTTCCTCTGAAACTTCTTGCCTCCAGAGCTGTGAGACAATAAGCTTCTGTTGCTTAAACTCCCCAGTTTCTAGTCCTTTATTATGACAAGCCTGGCAAACTGAAACATACATTTCCTCATCGGATCCTCACAAATCCCTACAATAAGAGTCCTTTGTTATGTAAGATTTGTTTGCATCTCTATGATGTAAAACCACAAGGCTTACTTATAGTAGATTTTAATTTGCTTGTAAGGTACTAAGTCCTGGGAATCACATGATTTATTGTGTTTTCTCTCTGTACATATCAGGACTTGCTCTGTTTATCAGCAGTCATTGGACTTCAGCATGATTACTCCCCAGTTGCTGGCTTATGTGGCAATTTCAGTTTCCTGTGTCTTAAAAGTCAGCTCCCTGGATACCTTCATTGCAGCTGTTTATGAACACGCCGTGATATTGCCTAATACCACCCTAATACCAGTGTCCCGTGAAGAGGCATTGGCGTTAATGAACCGAAATCTGGATCTTTTGGAGGGAGCGATCACTTCAGCAGCAAAACAGGTACCATCTGTGGAGTGTGCTAGATTCCATGTAGAGGAAGAGTGGGGGTCTTAGGAGACAGGGTCACTGGCAGGTTCAGTTATACTTTTGGATGACATAAGTGTCAGGGTAGCCAACAACTTTTGCTGTACAATCGGAGTCCTACCTCCTTCTCAAAATTATTAAGGCAAGGACACTATTATGCCTCCCTGAGTGAGACCAAGTGAGGAAAAGAATGGCTTCCTCATCATTAAGGCTCAGCAGGCCTTCGAGGAACTTGCTGTGAATTCCACAACTTTGCTCCCGTCCTTTTGCTGCACATAAAGGGTGGAAGATAAATGGGTCAGGACCAGGTGCTGTGCTTTAGAGTGTTAGCAGCCTTGGTATACTTTTGTGCTCTTAAGTGGGTGCAGGTTTTCAGATTAGTTCATAACACCAAAATAAAGTTAGTAAGTTGCAAATTAATATGCATTATGTACTTCATACTTCATTCTAATTACAGGATAAAAGTATATGTTGATGCATAGTAAGTCCTTGAGTTCAATGAAGGGTTAAGTTTAAGTGTGTGGTTTGAATGGGTATGGTTTAAATAAGGCATTTGTAGATCAGGTGTAGAGGAGGGATATGTAAAGTGTGATGAGTCATGAATACATACGTATAACGTACACATCACATCTCACACTTCATCAGCACACGTTCTTATACATACTTACGAACATTTTAAAGGCTGCAAGAATTCTGAGGTTCTTTTTCACCCTTAGTCCAGCCATTTTCTCAAAGGCTACAGTAGCTTTCAGGGTGATCCCCCGGTCTGAAGTTGCCCTGGTTAGCGTGGGGTGTACCTCTGGGCTTGGCACACTTCAGGGAACCAGGGTCTGAGTGCCCTCCTTCTGAGAAGCCAGAGTCACTTTTGTAGGACACGGAGCAGGGAAGGCTGGAACGGAGGAGGAAGAAAAACCAAGACTTTGAGTATAAGTCAACCCGGTGACACTCAGACACAACATCCGACTGAAGTCCAGAAAAGGGAAGTGATTTTGAGAAGACCAGGGTTTACAGTTAACTGCAGTGGATGGCAAACATGTAAGGCTATTGATGTTTATGGAAGAATGAAAAAGTTGTATAGAAATGGCGACGGTGGGATTAGACAATAAAAATGGCTGGACCAAGAAAATAAATTCTAAAAATAGTGAAAACAAAGGATTAGGATTGAAAGGGGGAAAAAAAAAGAAAGCCTGGATGGTTGTTTCTCATTCACTCAGTTGCTCAGGTCCTCTTATAAAGCCTTCTTGGATCCTTTCCTCAATTGAGAAATATTTCAATTAAGCTACATTTTTCACAGGGTGCCCATATTATTGTGACTCCAGAAGATGGTATCTATGGCTGGAATTTTAACAGAGAAACTATCTATCCATACTTGGAGGATATCCCAGACCCTCGAGTGAACTGGATCCCTTGTAATTATCCCAACAGGTAAAGAAACAGATGGTGGACAATTCAATCATGAACATGAACTTACTGTATCTGGGAGAACTTTGTAGAAGATCAGTGCATAAGATTCACTATCAACTCGAAGCTCAAGATGATTTTATTATTTTTCACCTCCTATTGGTACATTTATTAGGGAAGCGAATATGAATTGTGAAATCACAGAGATCAGTGTTGGAAGGTCTCATAGAAACCACCAAATTGTGAATATATTTTCATTGAGAGAATGAATCTGGAAGACAATAGCGTAACTTGCTTATGGTTTACAGGGGTAGTTGGTTAGTGGGAGAACCAGAATCAAACTCTAGTCTCTGACTTCTTACCAGTGAACAAAAAATTGTTTCCCCATGTGGGCACTGTAATCTGAAAACTGTGAGAAAATGGCAAAATAGAGTCACATGTTAGTTTAAGATTAAAAATTTCCCTTTTACATCAATAAGATAGCTAAATGAGGTAATTTGAATGAAATCCTGAGAGCTTAAGGTAATTATTGGTGTCCTAGAACTGTGTGAGTGGTTTAAGTCTGGCGTAAACTAAAGAAATATAATGTATGACGAAAGCAGCACTATTTTTTTTAACGTAAGCAAAGCAATACCTTATAGATTTAAGAAAATTATCTCTGTTAACTCACTTCTTTCCAAACGTGCTATTGCTAACATCATTAGGAACTCCCGTTTTGGAAATGCTCTCAAAACCATGCAAACTAACCACTGTAACTGCGTATAGAGACACCTTGATTTTGACACAGTTCAGTATTATTTATCTTAATCGTCTACTATCTTCATATTTCATTGTATCGTGATTATTTTTTATTTGACCACCTCTCATGCCAGATTTTTGGTTCTTAAAGGGCAACACTCTGTGTTCACTTTCATTATGTATTGACTTCACTTGCTTCTGAATGGCTTTTTCCCAGAACCACATTTCCAAGGGTCTCCTGGAAATCCCCACCAGACCCTTCCATACATCTCATTTCAAGAAATCTGGTTGCCCTTCTTTTTTTCCATCAACTAATGACATCTCCATTCCTTGCCTTCACTCATCTATTCAATATTTGTGTGTGTGTGTGTACTTATTATGTTCAGGCACTCACTATTCTGGACAGTAGAGTAGACAAAATAGATTAAAAATCTCTGTCTTCCTGGAGCTTATATTCTACTGTGGGGAGGTAGTCAATGAAAAAAAGATAATATCTATTTAGCTGTTATCTATCTACTGCTCTATGCCATGTAGCAAAGGTAAATGTTACAGAGAAAAACAAAAGCAGGACCAATGAGTATGGTGGAAAGCATGGGGCTTAAATTTTTGGTCATCAGTCGACTCCATGGTAACATCTAAACAGAGACTTGGAAGAAGTGAGTGAGTAGGTAATATGGGTGTATTTTCTAACAAAGCATTTTGGAGCCTTTCCTGGATAGAGTAAACAGTCTGAAAAATGTGGTTTAAATGTAAATATATTAGAATATCTGATGTACTTTCAAGGTTAATAGAAAGGGGGGAAATATGTAATTGGGACTGTTTAAGAAATCCCAAACACCAGGCTTCTATCTCAATATACTATTCTACCATTTGTGGAGATCTGAAAAGACTTGGGCTAAATATGTTTCAAGTGGTTCAGTGTGTTGTGCTTACATCTATGTCGTTCAGGAATTAATTGAAGAAAACAGGGAGAACAACTATCAAATAGTTGTTCTTTATATAAATGCATTAAAATAATAATTTTTACATGTGGTTTATCATCCTCATTGTCTTTTTTAAGGATATGTTTTGTAGATAATTGCTTATGTTAATTTTACCAATTTGTAGATCTAACAGTATAGATTTGATACTCAAAGAAAGCTCCAGCAGATGGCACCAATATCCCATTCATTCAACAGTAATTTTACCCTTCTCAGCTATTCTTCAATAACCTAGTATTAACCATTTAATATTTAAGGATTGTGCCAGTAGAGTACATATGGCTATATGTTATATATTCTGAGGTCTCACTTTTGAAGATTGTATTTTAGTTGATTTACTGGGACAACTTGGTAACATGATAAAGAATAAAGAAATCAAACATTAACAAATGTTCCAATATTTCCAGTTTTCCATACTGTCTGGCATCGCCCTAGCCCAACCCTTGTTGCTTTTAACTTGAACTATTCCAACAGTTTCCCAACAATTCCCTACACTTAGTCTCTCACCATTCTAGTACATTCTATACCCTAATGCCCTATTATCTGAAAAATAATTGAGATCATGTTACTTCTGTCCTTAAAACCTTTAATGGTACTTTTCTGTCTGTTTAATTTAAAATAAGCTTTTTAGCTTCTTGTGCTGAGCTCTATCTTTTATGACCCCAAATGCATCTTTTTAAATTTCCTCTTCCCTTTTCTTCCTTAAGGATGCCTCTGCACCAACCAGATTGACTAGTTCCCTGAACAAGATTTCCCTTTTCTTAGCCTACAAAAGGTTACTTTTTTCTAATATTCTTTACTGGGGTAAAATACACATAACATAAAATTTACCATCTTAACCCTTTTTAAATGTGCAGTCAGTAGTATTAAGTCTGTTTATGTTGTTGTTCGACCATCACCATCATCCACCTCCAGAACTCTTTTTTATCTAGCAAAACCCAAAACCTTGTGGCCCTTGCACAAGGATAACATGCAAATTCCTGAAGCATGCCATATTTTTAGAAATGAAAGAGGAGACATTATGTTTACATGATATCAAAGAAGTACTACAGATCATAAGACACTACTCTGAACAATTATATGTCGACAAATTGGACAACTTAGAAGAAATTCATAGATTTCTAGAAACAGGCAACCTACCAAGACCAAATCATGAAGAAATAGAGAATCTGAACACACCGATAATGAGTAAGGATATTGGATCAGTAATCAAAAAACTCTCAACAAAGGAAAGCCCAGAACCAGATGGCTCACAGATAAATTCTATCAAACTTTTAAAGAATAATTAATTCCAGTTAATCTCAAACTCATCCAAAAAATTTAAGAGGAGAGAATAGTCCCAAACTTATTTTATGAGGCCAACATTACCTTAATGCCAGAGTTAGGTAAGGATACCACAATAAAATAAAACTACAGCCCAATATCCCTGATGAATATAGATGTAAAAATTCTTACCAAAATACTAGCAAACCAAATTCAACAGCATATCAAAAGGATCATAGACCATGGTTAAGTGGAATTTGTCCCTGGGATGCAAGAATGTTTCAACGCATGTAATCGAAGCATATGATACACCACATTAATAGAATGAAATATAAAAATCATATCATTTCAATAGATACAGAAAAATCATTTGACAAAATTCAACATCCTTTCATTTTAGAAACTTTCAACAAAATGGGTATAAAAGGAACATACCTCAACATAATGAAGGCCATAAATAGCAAGCCCACAGCTAACATCATATTCAATGATGAAATTTGAAGATTTTCTCTCTAAGATTAAGAAAAGACAGTATCAGTACTCCTATTTAATTAGTACTGGAAGTCTTAGCCAGAGCAATTAGGCAAGAAAAAGAAACACATAGACCAGTTGAACAGACTCGAGAGCCCAGAAATATACCATGTGTATATGATCAATGAACATTTGACTAAAGAGCCAGGAATACTCAATGGGGAGAGGACAGTCTGTTCAATAAATGGTGTTGGGAAAACTTTATATTCACATGCAAAAGAGTAAAATTGAACCTTTGTCTTACACCATTCACAAAAATTAACTCAAAAGGGGTTAAAGACTTAAATATAAGACCTAAACAATAAAAATCCTAGAAGAAACCATGTGGGATAATCTCCTTGAAATTGGTGTTGCCAGAGGCAGAAACTTCCTGAGAGAAAACGCTCAGTGAAGACCAGGCAGGCCCATAAAAGGACAGGTCCTGTTGGCCATAACTAGGTTCTCATCCTTGAAACAAGTAGAAGCTCTGCATCTTGTAACAAGTCTCTGAAATACAAAGGGAAATAATAATCTGGCCAAGCACCTCTGATGAAAATCAAATCACAGGAGGGGCACCTGGGTGGCTCAGTCGGTTAAGCATCCGACTTTGGCTCAGGTCATGATCTCACAGTCCGTGAGTTCAAGCCCCACGTCGGGCTCTGTGCTGACAGCTCAGAGCCTGGAGCCTGCTTCGGATTCTGTGTCTCCCTCTCTCTCTGACCTCCCCCATTCATGCTCTGTCTCTCTCTGTCTCAAAAATAAATAAACTTAAAAAAAAAAAAAAGAAAGAAAGAAAATCAAATCAAAGGAACAGCATCGAGACCCTGAGCTTGTTTCACTTCTGAAACACAGGTAGATCAGCTCCAAACCATTTTGAACACCTAAGAAACTGATCTGAGGATTAACACAACAATCTGCATAATTTGAGCCACAAAACTCGGCAGGTACATAGCATGGAAAGGTGAACAGGGGGAGAGAAAAGCCACAGAGGCTAGGGAGCTGTTTTTGCAGAGAGAGGACAGAGAAAGAGAAAGGGGGAGAGTGCAGCACATCAGATTGTGTAAGAAAAGTACTCCCCCAGAAGTAGCTGGAGAGAAAGAGAGGGAAGGAGTGAAAATACTTGCAGGGGCCTGATCAAGAAATCTGTTCCCCAAAACCGTTGATGGGAAGAAAGGAGAGCATTACCACCAGGATTCTATAAACAGCGGAGTGCAGAGTGTGAAGTTTCTGAGCTCAATGCCTGGTGGTACTCTGGTGAGGAAGTAGCGTGAATTCCCAGGAGCAGGCAGTGGGGTCTGAGGGGTCCATGTGCCACACAAGGGAAGCAGTTCCCTTGCTTGGAAAGCATTTGGTAAAGGCCATACATTCTCCCCATAGGCAAAGGTCCCAGCAGACGCTGGAGAGCAGCCACGTTTGCTGGTATTGGGACAAAGACTCCAGAGTGCAGTGGAATCTGGCACTGGCTGTGTGTTGTAATTTGCCATAATCTCTGAATCTCTGCTATTGAACAATTGCACAAATGTTTTCTGGGGC